TTATAAAATAAAATAAAAATAATTTATTTAATTAATATTATATTAAATATTTAATTTATTTCTGCTAATTTTGTTAAATTTACAAAGACCGAAAAAGTTTTTCATTTACTTAAAATATGAAATTATATAAAAAATTAAAATTAAAGTAAATATTATAAGCTAAAAATTATAATTATAATTAAGAAATACTTAAGATTAATTAATATGTATTTATTATTTATAATAATGTAAGATATATTTCATATAAATATTTTATTTAAATATATTTTTATTATATTTTTTTTTCATAATTTTATATAAGACTAAATGAATGTACTATTTATAATTAAACTTATGATTTAAATAATTGTTTTTTTATATTTATTTTATTTCTGGTTTTAACATTTAAAAAGCTACAGTTTTTTTTTTATTTTTTAATAATTATATTATGTATATGATATTTAGTTTTAATATATATTTTTTTTATTTTTTTATATTAATGCATAAGTTATTGTATAGATTCTATATATTTTTTTTTTGTTTTAAAACTATTTTCTTTTTAATATTTATTTTTTTATATTTTTTTTTGTTTTATTTTTTTTTTCTCTATCATTCTTATATTTTTATGGAACTGTTTTATATTTGTTTTCTTGATTTCTTGTATAAAAAATCCTACTTTTTTTTGCTCTTTTTGTTAAATTTTCCTTAATTCCAGCATTCAAAATCTATTTATCTTTCATTGATTGTTTATTATATATAATATATATTTTTTTTTCTCTATACTACAGACTATTCATTTGCCAACAACATTTTTTTTTTTTGTATGATACATTTATAATATTTTTTAAGTGTTTTATTATTTTTTATTTCTAAGTTTTTTTTTTATTGGTTTTTATATTTTTCTAATATTTTTTTTCTGTTATTTTTAACGATTTCTTGAACCCTTTGGGTTTATATACATTTTATATACTTTTTATTTTTTCTCAAATTTAAGCTTAAATTGTCGCACTGTATTAAAAAAAAAAAAAACTTTGGAATAAAATTTTAAAATTTTCTTAAAAAACATAATTTGAGTTATATAGTCTTTTTCAACCATTACATTTATATATCATCTGAAAGCTTAATTTTTTTAAATCTGATTTCTATGATTTTTGACAAGAAATCTCACAGCATTACAATTTAAACATAAATTTTAAGTTGAGTTCTTGTGTTATTCTATTACATTTTCTTAAAAAATATATAAATTTTAGAAAAAATTACTAAATTATGAAATTTTTGTAATAAAAAAATAAAAAAATGCTAAGACAAACATATACATATGGTTTAATATTCATAATTTTAAAGTGGAATATAGATCTCTTCCTAAATAGGTTTTAATAGGGAGTCATTTTCTACGAAAAATCTCAGGCACCCACAACAGAGTAACAGCATTGATGATCAAAAAACAGGACATGAAAACCTCATCTTATCGAGGTAAAATTAGGACAAACTGTACTAGAACTAGATCAGAACTAGAACAAAACTAGATCAGAACAAGAACAGAACTAGAACTGAACTATAACTGAACTAGAACTAGAACTGAATTAGAAATGAACTAGAACTGAACAGGACATGACAACCTCATCTTATCGAGGTAAAATTAGGACTAATTGCACTAGAACTAGAACAAAACTAGAACAGAATTAGAACAGAACTAGAACAGAACTAGATCAGAACTAGAATAGAACTAGAACAAAACTAGAACAGAACTAGAACAGAACTAGAATAGAACTAGAACAGAACTAGAACAGAACTAGAACAGAACTAGAACAGAACTAGAATAGAACTAGAACAGAACTAGAACAACACTAGAACAGAACTAGAACAGAACTAGAACAGAACTAGAACAGAACTAGAACAGAACTAGAACAGAACTAGAACAGAACTAGAACAGAACTAAAACAGAACTAGAACAGAACTAGAACAGAACTAGAACAGAACTAGAACAGAACTAGATCAGAACTAGAACAGAACTAGAACAGAACTAGAACAGAACTAGAACAGAACTAGAACAGAACTAGAACAGAACTAGAACAGAACTAGAACAGAACTAGAACAGAACTAGAACAGAACTAGAACAGAACTAGAACAGAACTAGAACAGAACTAGAACAGAATAGAACTAGAACAGAACTAGACCAGAACTAGAACAGAACTAGAACAGAACTAGAACAGAACTAGAACAGAACTAGAACAGAACTACAACAGAACTAGAACCGAACTAGAACAGAACTAGAACAGAACTAGAACAGAACTAGAACAGAACTAGAACAGAACTAGAACAGAACTAGAACAGAACAGAACTAGAACAGAACTAGAACAGAACTAGAACAGAACTAGAACAGAACTAGAACAGAACTAGAACTGAACTAGAACTGAACTAGAACAGAACTAGAACAGAACTAGAACAGAATTAGAACAGAACTAGAACTGAACTAGAACTGAACTAGAACTGAACTAGAACTGAACTAGAACTGAACTAGAACTGAACTAGAACTGAACTGGAACGGAACTAGAACTGAACTAGAACTGAACTAGAACTTAACTAGAACTGAACTAGAACTGAACTAGAACTGAACTAGAACTGAACTAGAACTGAACTAGAACTGAACTAGAACTGAACTAGAACTGAACTAGAACAGAACTAGAACAGAACTAGAACAGAACTAGAACAGAACTAGAACAGAACTAGAACAGAACTAGAACAGAACTAGAACAGAACTAGAACAGAACTAGAACAGAACTAGAACAGAACTAGAACAGAACTAGAACAGAACTAGAACAGAACTAGAACAGAACTAGAACAGAACTAGAACAGAACTAGAACAGAACTAGAACAGAACTAGAACAGAACTAGAACAGAACTAGAACAGAACTAGAACAGAACTAGAACAGAACTAGAACAGAACTAGAACAGAACTAGAACAGAACTAGAACAGAACTAGAACAGAACTAGAACAGAACTAGAACAGAACTAGAACAGTACTAGAACAGAACTAGAACAGAACTAGAACAGAACTAGAACAGAACTAGAACAGAACTAGAACAGAACTAGAACAGAACTAGAACAGAACTAGAACAGAACTAGAACAGAACTAGAACAGAACTAGAACAGAACTAGAACAGAACTAGAACAGAACTAGAACAACGAACAGAACTAGAACAGAACTAGAACAGAACTAGAACAGAACTAGAACAGAACTAGAACAGAACTAGAACAGAACTAGAACAGAACTAGAACTAGAACAGAACTAGAACAGAACTAGAACAGAACTAGAAAAGAACTAGAAAAGAACTAGAAAAGAACTAGAACAGAACTAGAACAGAACTAGAACAGAACTAGAACAGTACTAGAACAGAACTAGAACAGAACTAGATCAGTACTAGAACAGAACTAGAACAGAACTAGAACAGAACTAGAACAGAACTAGAACAGAACTAGAACAGAACTAGAACAGAACTAGAACAGAACTAGAACAGAACTAGAACAGAACTAGAACAGAACTAGAACAGAACTAGAACAGAACTAGAACAGAACTAGAACAGAACTAGAACAGAACTAGAACAGAACTAGAACAGAACTAGAACAGAACTAGAACAGAACTAGAACAGAACTAGAACAGAACTAGAACAGAACTAGAACAGAACTAGAACAGAACTAGAACAGAACTAGAACAGAACTAGAACAGAACTAGAACAGAACTAGAACAGAACTAGAACAGAACTAGAACAGAACTAGAACAGAACTAGAACAGAACTAGAACAGAACTAGAAGAACTAGAACAGAACTAGAACAGAACTAGAACAGAACTAGAAACAGAACTAGAACAGAACTAGAACAGAACTAGAACAGAACTAGAACAGAACTAGAACAGAACTAGAACAGAACTAGAACAGAACTAGAACAGAACTAGAACAGAACTAGAACAGAACTAGAACAGAACTAGAACAGAACTAGAACAGAACTAGAACAGAACTAGAACAGAACTAGAACAGAACTAGAACAGAACTAGAACAGAACTAGAACAGAACTAGAACAGAACTAGAACAGAAACTAGAACAGAACTAGAACAGAACAACTAGAACAGAACTAGAACAGAACTAGAACAGAACTAGAACAGAACTAGAACAGAACTAGAACAGAACTAGAACAGAACTAGAACAGAACTAGAACAGAACTAGAACAGAACTAGAACAGAACTAGAACAGAACTAGAACAGAACTAGAACAGAACTAGAACAGAACTAGAACAGAACTAGAACAGAACTAGAACAGAACTAGAACAGAACTAGAACAGAACTAGAACAGAACTAGAACAGAACTAGAACAGAACAGAACTAGAACAGAACTAAAACAGAACTAGAACAGAACTAGAACAGAACTAGAACAGAACTAGAACAGAACTAGAACAGAACTAGAACAGAACTAGAACAGAACTAGAACAGAACTAGAACAGAACTAGAACTGAACTAGAACTGAACTAGAACAGAACTAGAATAGAACTAGAACAGAACTAGAACAGAACTAGAACAGAACTAGAACAGAACTAGAACAGAACTAGAACAGAACTAGAACAGAACTAGAACAGAACTAGAACAGAACTAGAACAGAACTAGAACAGAACTAGAACAGAACTAGAACAGAACTAGAACAGAACTAGAACAGAACTAGACTAGAACAGAACTAGAACAGAACTAGAAACTAGAACAGAACTAGAACAGCAGAACTAGACTAGAATAGACTGAACTAGAACTGCGACTAGAACTGAACTAGAACTGAACTAGAACTGAACTAGAACTGAACTAGAACTGAACTAGAACTGAACTAGAACTGAACTAGAACTGAAGTAGAACTGAAGTAGAACTGAACTAGAACTGAACTAGAACTGAACTAGAACTGAACTAGAACTGAACTAGAACTGAACTAGAACTGAACTAGAACTGAGCTAGAACTGAACTAGAACTGAACTTGATCTTAACTAGAACTGAACAAGAACTTTAATAGAACTAGAATAGAACTAGAATTAACTAGAACTGAAATAGAACTCAGCTTGGAATCAAGCCGTGTACTATGAAAGTTATAAAAATAAAAATATTAAAAGAAAAACAGAAATTTATTTAATTCGTTTAAAACTTTAATCGTTAGAAAGCAATTTACAAAAATATACAAAGTAAGTATTAAATACAAACATAAAATTAAACATTAACTTAAATTAAACACAAATTATAAGGCAGTTTAATGACAAATATAATTTTAAAAAATGTCTGTAATTAAACAAAAATAAACTTAATTTAAACAAAATAAGGCCGCTTAATAAAACTTAAGTTAAACAAAGTTTAAGTTATATAAACATATTTACAAGGAATGTTTAATGTAGCAGTTACTTACTCGATACCAAGAAAGTAATTTAAAATACTTTAGGGGTGGGAAAAGGGGTAAAATGGAATTTATATTTGTTAAGTTTTGGATTGATTATGTTAATACAGACTAGATTTTTAGTTATATGTATGGAATCACTTGATGTTTGAATATAATATTGAGTTTTTTAAGACTTAAACTCGGTTTAACTTAAGTTTAAGTTTTTATTATAACTAAAGTTTAATTTACAAAGAAAATTACAAAGAAAACTAATTTAAATAAAAGATTTTATAAATCAAATTTGGTTAAAATGGACGCAATTAAGTTGTCAATAGAAAATTGAAACAAAAATTTGCAAAAACATTTGTTGTAATGAAATAAAATGGACGTTAAAAGTTAAAAATAAAAATAAATATAAAAGAAAGTAATAAAAAGGAATTTAACAAAAATAAATTTTATTTAAAAAGAACAAATTTAAATAGCTGCCTTAAAAGAGATTCTTTTGTAAATAAAATTATATATATATATTTTTTTTATAAATATAAGTACTTGACTTAGCAATTGTTTAAAAAAAATGGAATATTTTAGCGAATACTACGCGAACTTTATCAGTTTGTATATTGAATATTGATTTAATTTAAAAATTAATATATTTTTGTTACTTAAAACTAAAATTTTGTTTGTTTTTCAAAGGGATTTTTTTAAGTTTGAAAATAAAATAAATGTTTATATATAAAGTTTTATTAGTTTTATTAATATTTAATATATTTTTTTTAAGGTTTTTGTTCACTTTAATTATAATTAATGCATAAACAGTCTTTTTTAGTTCACAATAACTTAAAAGACGGCTAAAATTTAAAATAAATTTAAATTTTAGTTTTAATTATAACAGTTTTTTATTTGTTTTCTTGTTTTTCAATTAAATCTAAGGGAAATTATAAAGTTAGAGATGAAGTGGAATGGGAGGGAGTTCTTAAAAATTAATGATAATAAAGAAGCAAGAAAATGCTTGAAATGTTTGTTTTTGATTTTTTTCTTTTTAAATTGTTATTATTTTCTTAATGTTATAACAGTTACACAAGCTATTATAACAGTTATAAAAGTGTTCTAATAATAAAATATAAAAGCTATAAGTTTTATTATTTGTTTAATGAAATTAAAGCAGAAATATTATAAAATTTTCAAATATTTGTTAGTAAAACTTTGTTGTATAACAGTTTTGTAAATATTTTAAGATTTTTTTTTTAAATTTACTATATAACTTGTTTGAAGTACGTTTATATAGTTATAAGTGTTATATTTTAAAACACTTAAATAAATGCTCATTTCTTTATGATAATTATAACAGTTATATTAAAAATTTAAATTTTTGTAAAAAATTTCTTCTTTTTTTCCACTTTAATGCTTTAAACAGTGTCAGCAGTTTATTTAAGATATTTATAACAGTTTTAATAACTATTATAAACCCTAATTATACTTAAAAAGTTTTAGCCATATAAAATTATAAGCACTTTTTCAAATTTATTGCTTATAACACTTTACTAAGAATATTTAAAGAAATTATAACAGTTTTCTTAACAGTTATAAGCCAAAGCTATACAACCAATACTTGTCTTTAGAAATAACTACTAATCAATATATATGTATAACACATTTATATACTAAAGCTTTAAAAATGTTTATATTTCTTCTTTTTAACTGTTATACTTTTTTATTTTTGTTTAAATTGGTCGATTTTAAAAACTATTTTCAAAAATTTTTAAAAGATTTTCAAATGCATTAAACTCCAATTAAGCATTATTGATAATTATAACAGTTAGTAAAACTGTTATATAACCAAACAAACGCTTTAAAAGTGTTCACTTTTCAGTTTTATAGTTTTAGACATATTTTTAAGGGAATTTTTAGAAATTAGAACAGTTTATTTAACTGTTATACACCTGCACTGCTCTAACAACATTTGGCTTTAAAAATAACTACTAAAATAATTAATAATAAATATGTATAACACATTTATATGCCAAAATGTTTGTAATGTTTATATATTTTACTTTTTAACTGTTATACTTTTCAATTATTGCTTTAAATCGTTCGATATTAAAAATATAATCTACTTTTTAAATATTTTTTAAAAGTATTAAACTTCACGAAGCATTTTCATTAATTATAACAGTTTGAAAAACTGTTATACCAGCAAAACATACATTAAAAGTTTAATTTTTCAGTTTCAAAAGTTTTTAATAGATTTCCATGAGAATTTTTAAAAATTATAACAGTTTTCTCAACTGTTATACAACTGAGTCATACATAATGAACACTTTTATAACATAATTTATATTTATTTAACTTTCATTATTTATAAAAGTTTTAAATTTTCATAATTTTTGAAAAGTTTGCAATTTTTAATGTCTCAACTGTTATACAAAGTTTATCTCTCTTAAAATCGTTAAATTTTAAAATTTTTTAATATTTTTTTAAAAAACTTTCAAATATTAAAATCTATAAAGCATTTTAACTAATTATAACAGTTTATAAAACTGTTATAACAGCAACACTTAGCATTTCTTCAGAAACAAATTATTTATAAATTCTAAAGCAAATATAACAGTGATATAAGTCATTTTAAATCAGTTTTTAAATTGTTATATAATACCAGAAACGTCCTTATTACAGCTACATAATTTTATAACAGTTTTCATAACTGTTATACAAACAAATAAACTTCAAACTTCCACAAATTTTTAAACTGCTTTACACTTAAATATTTCTTATATACTTATAACACTTTTATAACTGTTATACTACTTGCTTAATAACTGTTATATTCTTTGCTAATACGAAACAAAATGCAAATTTTTATGCGTTTTATTTCTTCAACTTTGTTAAACTATAATTAATATATTACTGCATTTTTTCGCGTAAAACCAAAAATATCTTCCTTTTGTTATAAATCATGTATCATTTAATGAACAAACTGTTATACAGTTGTTATAAAATTAAACTAATTGGTATAATTATCAAATGAACCCAAATATTCCAAAGCAGCACGATAACAAAAATGATATTGATCCTAAAAAGATACAAAAAAAAGACATTTTAATACAAAAAAAATTTCAAAAGTTTTCAATGACCCAAAACAATAATTACCTCTGTTTGCACCATAGCTGGCCGTTGAGCACGTAAAATTCTTACTGTTTGGAATACATCCAAAACACCCTCATATTGCATGCGTTCCAAAACAATACTCAGCGTTATGAATACACCCGTACGACCCACACCAGCACTACAGTGCACTGTAATGGGACCATCTTGACCAAATTGTTCTTTTGTCTTATGCACTTGTCCAATGAAATCAATGAAGCCTTCACCCGATTTGGGTACACCCTGTTCGGGCCAATCGATAAATTGAAATTGTCGTACGGTACGTGAAGAGCCATCACGTGCATCGGTTACCTAAATGGATAAAAATACACAGAGAAAATAATATAAAATAATTTGTTTAACATATACGATTAATATTATTTATTATATTGTCCTTGTCAATGTTGTTGTTGTTATTGTTGTTGCTGTGTTCGTTATCGGTTGCTGTAGACATTTGGTACCTCAAACATAAAGTGGGCTTATGGTTCGTTTGGTGTTTGAATGGTTAACAGACTTTAGTCTTTAAACAAGATATTAGGGATGTCTAAGATGTCTAAGTTTAAGATTACAAATTAATCTATATTCCAGGCCATGGACTAGATTATAGCCCACACTATAGACTATGCTATAGCTTAAACTAAAGACCAGACTAAAGACTTTACTATAGTCAAGTCTATAGCCAATACTATATTATAGTCCACACTATAGACTTGACTATAGTCTAGACTATAGACTTGACTATAGTCCAGACTATAGACTAGACTATAGTCCAGACTATAGACTAGACTATAGTCCAGACTATAGACTAGACTATAGTCCAGACTATAGACTAGACTATAGTCCAGACTATAGACTAGACTATAGTCCAGACTATAGACTAGACTATAGTCCAGACTATAGACTAGACTATAGTCCAAACTATATGCTTGATTATTGTCCAGACTATAGATTAGACTTTAGTCCAGGCTATAGTCCAGCCTATAGACTGGACTATAGACTTGACTATATTTCAGACTATAGGCTAGACTATAGTTCAGACTACAGATTAGACTATAGATTAGACTATAGTCCATACTATAGACTGGACTATACTACAGACTATATACTTGACTATACTTCAGACTATAGACTCGACTATACTCCAGACTATAGACTATAATCTAGACAGTAGACTATACTATAGTCCATAGTGTAGACTTGATTATAGTTCAGACTATAGGCAATACTATAATCCAGACTATAGACTAGATTATAGTCTAGACTATAGACTAGATTGTAGTCCAGACTATAGACTTGATTATAGTCCAGACTATATACTAGACTATAGTCCCTACTAAAGACTAGACTATAGTCCAGACTATAGACTAGTTCATAGTCCAGACTATAGAGTAGACTATAGTCCAGACTATAGAAGAGAGTATTGACTTGTCAAATATCTATAGTATAGATACTTTTGAAAAGATATTAGCGATGTCTAGACTATATTGTAGTTCAGACGATAGATAAGAATACAGATCCGATATAGTCCACACTATTGACTAGTTTAAAGCCTAAACGAATGACCAGACTAAAGATTAGACTATAGTCAAGTCTATAGCCTAGACTATAGTCCAGACCATAGTCCATACTATAGATTAGACTTTAGTCCAGACTATAGACAAGACTCTAGTCCAAACTATAGACTTGACTATAGACTATACGAGAGTATAGACTTGTCAATAGTCTATAGTATATATTACACGATAGACTCGATAGTCTAGACTGTAGTCTAGACAATAGTCCAAATTATAGATTTGTTGACTTTGTCGGCACAAAATTTCAGGGTTCAACTTTTATATTTCCAAAATTCCAAACACTTCAAAAACCACCACCCTACTATGAGCATATGCATGCTTATAATGGACATTGTACTTGGTTGGTTAACTTACCTTGAATTCACGTAATTTATATTGTGGCATATTGTATTCAGCAATGGGATCAACAACATAATATTGATAACGTACAGAACGTTCATGGGGCCAATATTGATAGCATTTTTCCTAAAATAAGGATAAAATATGAAAAATTTAATTATTAAAAAATTTATGTTTAAAATGTTTTAACAAACCGAAAAATATTTAATATTCTCCACTACTTACCCTTCCCATTTCCTTGAGCTTTGTCAACATCACCACAATCGTTGAGTTGTGTTCCCACAACATACGCCAGAAATCTTCAGCGGTATCTTGTAAAGGACCTTGAGCCGCTATATAAGCCGAACGATAACGATAACCTTCAATAAAACTGGCATTAATATAATCACTGCCTTCGATGCCGTGTATGGGAGTCAAATAGACACGAGTCGATTCATAGGGTAAAATGTGGACCAAGCGATTTTTATGCTTGTTGCAGGGTAAATTAGCCGTAACGAATTTGGAAGAGTCCACCTTAACATTGGATAATTTCTTAAATTCTATTTCCATTCCGGTGATATTTTCTCCAGGTTCAGTGGTCAATAGTTTCTGCAAATGGGTATGAAGATTACGAGCGGGTACCTCAGTATGACCGCAAATAATGGCTTCCAATATGGCATCGTGTATAAAGATATATTGATCTTCGGTTTGGACCATATAGTTGCGTTGAGCTCGAAGACAAGTGACATGACCATAAATATCAACAATCTTTTCATGTTTCATTCGTTCCAACATCGAATCTATAACAATATAGCAACCGGTACGTCCCACACCAGCTGAGCAGTGTACCACTACGGGACCAGAATCGGGAGGAGTAAGAGCTCTACATCTGCGCAAGAACTGCAAGAAGGGGGCTGGATGATCGGGTACACCATGATCGGGCCAGGCAGTAAATTGCAATTGCTTAATTTCACGTCGTTCATTAAAACCTTGTCTAACGACTTGGAAGGTTCGTATACTATAAGTAGATAGTTCCTGGGTTTCCGTGATGGTTACAAACATTTGTCCATATGTTTCGGTGCCACGAGTAGGCCAATATTGATCACATTTAATACGTGTTCTCTCCTCTAAACGTGTCATCATAACAATAGTTGTGGTCTTCAGTTCCCAACACATTCTCCAAAAATCAGCTATAGTTTCCTGCAAGGGTCCCTGAGTAGCTACATAAGCATTATGCTTGCGATAGCCATCACAGTAATTGGCATTAATATAATCCGAACCCACTACCCCATCCATAAGCGGCAGTATAACACGTGAATGATCATAGGCAGTTACATTGGCATAACGATTCTTGGGTTTGTTATATTCATAATTGGAATTATCCCAGGTGAATTGTTGTCCGGGTTCAATGCTTTCGTATTCCTGAGAGAATTTCTGATTGTCATTCGCTTTGAGGCGTTCTACATGATTCGAAAACTCCGAGATGGGTATAGGTGGGTGTGAAATCATGCCGGGGGTTTGGAAGTTCAAACGTCTCATATCTACCGGATCGCTAGGTGTGGGTCCAGCACCTAAATCGGCTGCCATTAAAGGTCTAGTAACAGCTGCCTGATCTGGTGTCTTGCAAGGTTGTCTCTTACGCTTGATTATGTAGATAATAATAAAAGTGGTGACAAGTATTAAAGCTGCCAAGGCCGGTAAGACCACCCATAACATGCCGGGTTCATCCTTATTGCGGTTAACCGAAACTTCAGGTTCTGATGGCCAGTTAGGATCAGGTCTGTGAGGCCTTTCGCCTGGAGGAGCTTCACGCATGTCCAATGATAAAAATTCCGAAAAGGGTGATGAGGTATACAAGTGCTTCTGAGGTGTATCGACAACAGCTCTAACAAAAATACGATAACGCTTGTCACGTTCCAATTTGCGATTGGTGAAATTATGATAATCATCTCCCGAACCCAAATGGAAGGTAAAGGGTATAGATCTCTGAGGAAATTTGGCGGCTATATAAGGAGCATTAGGCCGTTCAGGTTTATTGCGTCCTGGCAATAGATCCTCCGTTAAGAACTGATCTGGATTCTTGTGTAAATTGGATTTATCCTCCGGCACTACCACCAAATAATAATGTGATATAGGACCATATTCTTCCGAAGCTTGTGGTAAAATAACTAAAATCTCTTCACCATTTACAACACCATAGAAATCTGGCTTAACCATAGGTTGTGGAGCAGCCATTTGTGTCGTAACCGTTATCTTAGTGGGTGGTCTATAGGAATAATCCGAAGGTAAAGCACTTACATTGACATTATAGGTGGTAAAGGGACTCAGTTCATTGATGGTGTGCGTCTTAACATAAGCCTTCAGAATAATTTCTCTTCTCTGTACAATCTGTGTTTGTGAGAAACCCTGTGAGTCGACAAACACCTTCATGGCATCATAGGAAATTTTGTAGTTAATGGGATTCAATCTTATGGGGGGAGACCAGGATAAAGTCATGGAATGTGTAGTAACATCATGGGCTCTCAAATTTAAGGGCACATCTTCGGGCTTGATTTTCACCGTAACTTTCTCACTTAAGCGACCCAAACCATTTTTAAATCTAGCCGCTATAGCTACGGCATATTGGGCAAACTTTTCTAAATTCACCAAATCGGCTGATTCTGTTAAGCCTACAGTCTTTGTTTGCCATTCATCTAAATCCTCCACTGCGGTCATGGTATAGAAAATCTTATAACCCAATAATTTACCCCTTGAAGGCACTGGTTCCCACCATATTTCCGCCGTCTGTTCGGAAGTAGCTACGGCTTGTACTGACATAGGAGCGCGACCCATATCTCTTTCGGTTTCAACCAAAATCTTTTCACTAAAAGGTCCAGCTCCTTGTTTAGTATAAGCACGCACGCGGAATATGTATTCAGTGTTCTCTTCCAGATTAGTAAACACAGCCTTGCGTAAAGTCATATTGCGTTCCGAGCCCAAACCATGATCGATTTTCTTATGGAATTGTACATCATAGCGTGTGATAATACCATTACGATGTTCCCGTATGGGTGGCTCCCAAGTAACACACACTACATCGGGTGTCTGGAAGCGTACGGTGATATTGGATGGTGGTCCTCCGGGTACACCTTCGGGTGTTTGGAAATTCTTCACAGTTTCCTGACCAATACCTATGTGATTACTACCCGCAACTCTGAATTCATATTCCACTCCACGTTCGAGATCCTTAAAGGGTTTTTTCGTTTCATGTGGACCCATTAACATTTCCTTGAGTGGCTGATCTTTTATACCCCATCTTAGACGATAGCCTCTTAGTTCTCCATACGTTTGTGCCGGTCTTTCCCATTCTAGCTCAATTGATACCGTAGGATCACGTTCCATTATTTTCAAACTGACTGTAGGTCTTACGGGTACACCACCAGGAGTTTTTACTATAACAGCAGGACTACGATCACCATCACCTTTGCGTGTAAGAGCGGCGACTTGTATGGAGTATTTAGTATCGGGTTGTAGACCGGAAACATTGTATTCGAGAGCATCTACCACATCGTATTTCAGAGGTTCATTTAAGAAACCCTTACCCTGGAAGCAAAGAGGTAGTGTTAAATGATCGATGGTCAAGATTATATATAAACCAGATGGGTCGACATTAAATTGGTCGAAAGTCCAAATTATAGACAAAATGATTATCCTGAATCTATTCTAGCCGATTGTCTAGACAATAGACTGGTCGATAGCATAGACTGTAGACAAATCGATAGTCCAGACTATACAGAAGTCGACAATAAACTAGTCGATAATGCAGACTATAGGCTAGTCTATAGTCCAGACTATATACTAGTCGATAGTGCAGACTATAGACTAGTCGATAGTCCAGACTATAGACTAGTCGATAGTCCAGACTATAGACTAGTCGATAGTCCAGACTATAGACTAGTCGATAGTCCAGACTATAGACTAGTCGATAGTCCAGACTATAGACTAGTCGATAGTCCAGACTATAGACTAGTCGATAGTCCAGTCTATAGACTAATCGATAGTCCAGACTATAGACTAGTCGATAGTCCAGTCTATAGACTAGTTGATAGTCCAGACTATAGACTAGTCGATAGTCCAGACTATAGACTAGTCGATAGTCCAGACTATAGACTAGTCGATAGTCCAGACTATAGACTAGTCGATAGTCCAGACTATAGACTAGTCGATAGTCCAGACTATAGACTAGTCGATAGTCTGGACTATAGACCTTTCGATAGTCCAGACTATAGACCTTTCGATAGTCCAGACTATAGACTAGTCGATAGTACAGACTATAGACTAGTCGATAGTCCATACTATACACTAGTCTATAGTCCAGAGTAAAGACTAGTCGATAGTCCATACTATAGACTAGTCTATAGTCCATACTATAGTTTAGTCGAGGGTCCAGACGATTGTCTCAACTATAGACAGGTTGTATATGTGAATCAAGATATATAGAGAAGGAATCTTGTCTTGTAATGGAGATCATGTCAAACTTACCTCATCTCTTACTTCCTGAACATGTATGTGATAGCCACGTATAATACCATTACGATCTTTTTCTAGCGGAGGTTTCCAGGTAACATGAATTGAAGTCGAATTTAATGGAGTAGCCTTAACTTCTTGAGGATCTCCAGGCACTAAACGATGAAAGTGGGAAATAAAAACTATTAGTTTTCTACACAATAACTAAACGAAAAGACAATTAAATATAAAAAAGCCTTAAGTCCATAAAATACTTAATTTAAAAATACCTAAATTTTATAAAAATAAATCCTTAATAAGTATATTTCAAAATATATATCAATAAGCTAAGACAAAGGGAAACTACATACATAGAAATACTTAATTATTTTTTATGATATAGATTTTTTATATAGGATTTTAAATAACTTATAAAATCTAGTTTATAAAACTTAAAAAGTTTTAATTACAAAACAAAACATTATCACATCACACAAAAATAAGATTTGATGCAAATTTTCATAAAAAAATTGGGGGCAAAAGTTTAAAAAAAATATTTTGGTTTTTTTTTTTTTTTATTGTTGGAGGGAGAAAAATTCAAAAATATCTGGTTTGTTTAAGGTCTATTAAAAAAAGCATTCAAAAATCATTTTTAAAAAATTATGGTATTTTTTATGCAAAAATCATTTGTTTGTCAAAGTAAATTTTCAAAAAATATTTATCAAAAGTTATGATTTTTCTTGGATTGTTGTTTTTTTATAGAATGGAAAAAAGAGAAAAATTTTTTAAAAAATGTTTAGTTAAAAATTCTTAATTATATAAAGAATTTTCTAAAAAATATTAAAATATATCTTAGTTTTAAATATCTTTGTTATAATATAAATATTTCTTTAAAATTAAGACAAATATTTATGCAAAATATATATAAAAAAAAGTTATACTAGGATTAATAAAAGAAAAGAAATTAAATACTTATTTTAAATCTAAAAATCAGCAAAATTTTTTTAACAAAAGGAATCTCAGATCTATTGTGGAAGTAAATTTTTGATCTTTTGGTAAAGAGTTTTGAAGATGAATGTTTAACGTTTCAGTTAAGAAAACTTAAGATCGATCGTTGATCTTTTGGAGAAGTAAACTTGGGGCAAATCGAGGATCTTTTAGATTTTTATGGAAACTTGAAACTTGTGACACATTGTAGATCATTTGGAGATGGAATGTAGAAAGCGATCGCAGATCTTTTGAAGAACTGAATGTGAGACTGATCGAAGATCTTTTGCAACTTGAAGCCGAAAAACAAAATTTGAGACAAATTATAAATCCTTTTAATAAGGACACTTGAAACCGATCATACATCTTCTGGAGAAGAAAACTTGAGGCGGATTGCAGATCTATTGAAGAAGAAAATTTGAGACTAATATTTTGTTTGTTTGTTAAAAAAGACTTGAAACTGAACGCTGATCCTTTGAACAAATAAGCTCGGCGTCAATCGTAAAATCTTAAGAAGAATCATATATCTTCAGATGAAGAAAATTTGAGATTAAGTATAGATCCTCCGGAGAAGAAAACTTATGATCGATTACAGATCTTTTGGGAGAAAGAAATTTGAAACCGAGAGTAGATCTTTTGGAGAAGAAAAATTGAGACTGATCGCAGATCTATTTTGTTCGTTTGTAAAAGGATACTTGAAACTGATCGTTGATCCTTTGGACAAATAAGCTCGTGATCAATAAAGAAAACTTGAGATTAAGTATAGATCCTCCCAAGAAGTAAACTTATGATCGTTTACAAATCTTTTGGAGTAAGAAATTTGAAACCAAGTATAGATCTTTTGGAGAAGAAAATTTGAGATCGATCGTAGATCTTTTAGAGAAGAACCTCGATCGTAGATCTCTTGGAAAAGAAAACTCGAAACTCATTGTATATGTTATAGAAATTTTTGTGAAACAGATCGTGATTCTTTTGGAAGAGGAAACTTGCAGTAGTTTTAAGTTTTATTGAAAAGAAAATTTTAAACCAATAAAATAACTTTTGACGAAGAAAACTTAAGACCGATTTTAGATCGTTTGGGGAATAAATCATGAGATCGATCGTAGAACATTTGGAGAAGAACCCATGAAACAAATTGTAGATATTTTAGAGAAAAAAAACTTGATAGTAAATGAAGATCTGTTGGAGAAGAAATCTACAGATCGATCGGTGCTCGATCTCTTAGAAACGAACTTTGGACGAAAAGATCATGAAAACCTCAGACCGATCGCAGTTATTTTGGAAAAGAAAAATTGAAACGAATTGTATATCATTTGGAGAAGGAAACTTGAGATAAAAAAGCAAACTTGAGAACGATCGAATATCTACTGAAGAAAATTTCAGATCGATTGCAGATATTTGCAAGAAGTTGTGTATGTTATTGAGATCAACCGCAAATCTTTTGAAAGATAATATTACACATGATTCACAGATCTTTTGTTGAAGGTAACATAAAACCGATCGTGGATCATTTTAAAAAGAAAATGTTATACTAAACTTGAGATCAATCATTTGTAATTTAGGGAAGGAAACTGAAGACGAATAGTAGAACTTCTGAAAAGTTAAATATGAACCGATCGCGGATCTTTTGGTACACAACAAAGATCTTGAAGATCACCTTTTAGAGAGGCATACATTGACTATTGATTGATCCTTTAAAGAATGAAATTTGAGATTATTTGTAGATCTACTGAAAAATAGTTATAATAGAAGTGATTTTTAACAATTGTCACTTTACTGGTCCTTAGTAAATGATGAAGTAGTGTGTTTAAAAATTTTGCTGATTTTTTCTTAATTTACACAAAAAAACTTTTTGTAACGAAATTTCTAAAATCAAAAACAAAAACAACTAAAAAATCATGCTATATATTAAAAATATATATCTTTTTTCAAAAAACACATCTAATTTTCATATTCTTTTAGCAAAAAATACTCACTGTTTTTCACTACATTTATAATATTTTTTATTTTGTTTAAAAAAATTTTTATATTTGCAAAAAATTATGTAAAATTTTTTGTTTCAAAAACCATTATTCATCCATGTTATTAAATATTGTTTTTTTTGGGGGGGTTGGGGATTGCGTTCAAAAATTTATATATTTTGTTGTTTATTTTATAGTTTTAGTTAAAAAGAGTTCATTTGTTAAAAAAAACATCCAGTTACAAGTACATTTACAAAAACATACACACACAAAATTCAAAAAAACGTGTGCAATTTTTTGTTTAATTTTTTTTTGTTTGTTAAAAGAGTGCGAGTGTGACCAAAAAAGATATAAAAAAGAACAAATATTTAGAGATTAAAATTTGTTATAAATATAGTTTAATGTTTAAGAAAAGAAAACAAATTATAAGGAACAAGTTGGCACACTCGCTGGGTTTGTAAAAAGAGTTTTGGAGGGGTGTTTTAAACAAAAAAATAGGATTTTAGAAAAAATTTTAAATTAAATTGGCAACTGTTTTGGTTTCTTAATCAAATGTTAAGGAAAATATTAAATGAAGCACCAAATTTTTGTGGAAAACTATGTTAGAGACTTAAGGTTTTTAAGGGGGTAAGAGATAAACTTAGTTTAACTTAGGTTTTCATAAACTTAGGATATTATAAATAGCTTAAGTCTAAAAGTAGGCAATACTTTTAATAAGTATGCTTATAAACTAATATATGAAATTATGTTTAGATAAACTTAGTCTAGTCTATAGTATAGTCTATAGTCTAGTCTATAGTCTAGTCTAGTCTAGTCTATAGTCTAGTCTATAGTCTAGTCTATAGTCTAGTCTATAGTCTAGTCTATAGTCTAGTCTATAGTCTAGTCTATAGTCTAGTCTATAGTCTAGTCTATAGTCTAGTCTATAGTCTAGTCTATAGTCTAGTCTATAGTCTAGTCTATAGTCTAGTCCATAGTCTAGTATATAGTCTAGTCTATAGTCTAGTCTATAGTCTAGTCTATAGTCTAGTCTAGTCTATAGTCTAGTCTATAGTCTAGTCTATAGTCCAGTCTATAGTCTAGTCTATAGTCTAGTCTATACTCTAGGCTATAGTCTAGTCTATTGTCTAGTCTATAGTCTAGTCTATAGTCTAGTCTATAGTCTAGTCTATAGTCTAGTCTATAGTCTAGTCTATAGTCTAGTCTATAGTCTAGTCTATAGTCTAGTCTATAGTCTAGTCTATAGTCTAGTCTATAGTCTAGTCTATAGTCTAGTCTATAGTCTAGTCTATAGTCTAGTCTATAGTCTAGTCTATAGTCTAGTCTATAGTCTAGTCTATAGTCTAGTCTATAGTCTAGTCTATAGTCTAGTCTATAGTCTAGTCTATGGTCTAGTCTATAGTCTAGTCTATAGTCTAGTCTATAGTCTAGTCTATAGTCTAGTCTATGGTCTAGTCTATGGTCTAGCCTACAGTCTAGTCTATAGTCTAGCCTATAGTCTAGCCTATAGTCTAGTCTATAGTCTAGTCTATAGTCTAGTCTATAGTCTAGTCTATAGTCTAGTCTATAGTCTAGTCTATAGTCTAGTCTATAGTCTAGTCTATAGTCTAGTCTATAGTCTAGTCTATAGTCTAGTCTATAGTCTAGTCTATAGTCTAGTCTATAGTCTAGTCTATAGTCTAGTCTATAGTCTAGTCTATAGTCTAGTCTATAGTCTAGTCTATAGTCTAGTCTATAGTCTAGTCTATAGTCTAGTCTATAGTCTAGTCTATAGTCTAGTCTATAGTCTAGTCTATAGTCTAGTCTATAGTCTAGTCTATAGTCTAGTCTATAGTCTAGTCTATAGTCTAGTATAGTCTAGTCTATAGTCTAGTCTATAGTCTAGTCTATAGTCTAGTCTATAGTCTAGTCTATAGTCTAGTATAGTCTAGTCTATAGTCTAGTCTATAGTCTAGTCTATAGTCTAGTCTATAGTCTAGTCTATAGTCTAGTCTATAGTCTAGTCTATAGTCTAGTCTATAGTCTAGTCTATAGTCTAGTCTATAGTCTAGTCTATAGTCTAGTCTATAGTCTAGTCTATAGTCTAGTCTATAGTCTAGTCTTTATATTCCATTTTTTAATTATCCTGAAAGTATGCAATAATTTTTATAATATTACTTACTAAAATAAATATGCAGTAATTTATGGGAAACTTACATCCTACAAGTAGGCTACATTTTTAGAATTTT